GGAAAAAAAATAAAAAAATCTTTTAAAACAAAAAGAAAGAAACTGTATTGCTTCATGGTCCAAAATAGTTTACTGAATGCCCATGATCATTGCCCGAATTCCAGATGACAGAAAGGAGGAAGCACAGAGGGCAAAAAGGGTCCCCTCCAGTTATGTCACTTTTCTTTATGCTGTTTTCCCAGAAGTTATAGACAATTCTTCCACTTATGCCTTATAGTAAGCACTTAGTTATTGACAATACCTAGCTGCAAGAGAATCTGGGAAATGTTATCTCATCTGAGTGCATTGCCACTCTAAATAAAACCAGGGTCCCATCTAGCAGAATAAACTAGACTATGCCGCAGTAACAAACGACCTCAAAATCTCACAGGCTTGACACATCACAGACTTATTTTCCTCTCATATTACACGACCATCCTGGATGGTTATGGCTCTAATCCATGGTGTCTTCACTCTGCAACTCAGAACCACTATCAGAAACATTGCCAGTCTTCATAGCAGAGAGAGAGAGAGAGAGAGAGAGAGAGATAGAGAAAAGAACATGAATCTCATTCTGGTTCTCAAAGTTCCCATTTTATTGGTCAAAGCAAGTCATGTGGCCACATCTAAATACAAAGGGGCAGGGAACCATAATTCTACCATTTATAAAAATGAGGAGAAACAGAAATATTTGGTAAATATGACAAATAACTTACCAGAGTTAAGGAGGAAGGGGAGATGGGCGTTGGGATAGGAAGCAGTGTCTATCTGCTTTTGTAAACTGTTTATTTGTAAACTGCTTTTGCTCCATCTCTTGTATATTGAGGATCCTAGGGTTTTAATTGTCATTACCTAAATATGCTATGCTACTTCATTACTTAGTAAGTATATTAATGGAGTTTAGTCTCCCTGGAATGTCCTCCTCTATTTAACTCCAGTGTTCTCAAGACTCTGCTTAAATTTCCTTAAGTCCCATGCCCTGTCCCACAAGACCTTATCTATGCTTACGTATAGGATTAGGTACAGCTGTGAGTAACAGTTCCATAGTCCCAACCTAGTATGGCTGCTCTGTTCCACAAAATCATCAGGGATGCAGGGTCCTTCTACTTTGCACTCTGTCACTCTTTGCATGCCACCTCATGTCAAGTTAGCTGCTTGAATTCCAGCCATCACATCTTTACTCCAGCCAATAGAAAAAATTAGAGGTCAAAGAATGGCACACAGCTCCTTTCCTAAGATCCTTCTTATTAGTTGCAAACGATACTTCTGCTTACATATGATTAACCAGAACTTAGTCACAGAGAGCTACACTCTGCTGCAACGGAGTCTGAGAAAACGTAGTCTTTTTCTGGTCAGACATGTGTCCAGGTCAACACTGAGGTTCCATTACTAATGAAGAAGAGATTATATTGAGAGGGATTGAGGGATAAATAGCAGTCTCTACTGCAAAGATGGACACATCAGCTCATTTTTTCATCCGCCCTTTTAGTCTTTATTCAATCAAAACTTATCTTTTGAGTTCCTACTGTCTAGCAGTAAACATCACAGATATGGTTCCTACATTTATGGAATTTTCAAACATTAAACAAAAACCACCAAGATGGATATATGATTACATATTTTGATTAGTGCAATAAAGGAAAATTTTGCTAGGAGCGAGACTAATGGGGATCGGGGCTAATTTAGATGGCAGAAGGGATCAGGGACAGCCTTTTGAAGGTTGTAGGGAGAAGTATGATAGGGGACGCTGGCACAAGGATCAGCTGGCAGTGGATTGGGACAATTCCAGGAAGAGGGGGAAATATCTGCAAAGGCCTTGAGGCAAAAAGGAGCTTGGTATATGTAAAAATGAAAGGAAGGCCAGTGTGGTTGGAGCCCTGTGAGGGAGGGGAAGAGGGGTGTGAGAGGCAGCTGGAAATGTGGACAGAGGCCAGATCCTGGGACTTTGCAGGTCATGCTAAGGATTTTGGATTTTATTCCAAATACATTAAAAAGGCATTGGAGGATTTTAGGAAGAAGAGTGACGTGATTATCAGATACTCAGCAGATAAGGAAGTTAGAAAATAAAGATATCTTATTATTCATGTGTTATTTTTTCCCATACATTATGCTGCTATTTTTATCGATCTTTGTATAATCACTTCTCCTTAAACATTTTTCCTTCTGCTATCCAGATTCACGCAGCAGTATTTGCAGTCTTCTGAATTGGCCTTATTAAAAAACATCATTGGTTTATTTTTATTCTTTCTTAGGTCTCTTGTTTTCATTTGCCTATGCTCCAAAAGAGGCAGAAAAACAGAGATTCATTCAAGAAAAAGAAATGGTTATTTAATGTACCGAATTTAAGACTAATCCCCGGTCTTCCTTCTTATACAACTATTATCAGCCCTATCTTGTGACTTCACAGAGCCGGTACAAACTATAAACTTCTAGATTCATCACTGGCCTGCATAGCCCCAAAGATGAGATGGAAAGAAGGGCACAGCGGAATTCTCATGGCTACTTCTTCAAGGTTTTGGCCCTGCTGTTGTTCCCACGTCCTGATTTGGATGTTGGCCCTTGACTCCTGGCAATGACATACTCTGGCCTGATGATTTCTGTGACCTCATTAGACTTCTGTCCCCGGGGGCCCTGATGCCGATCTGAGGATCTCTGCTTCAAGCCTTGAGTCTTCATGTTTTGGATATATTTTTACATCTTTAATATTTTTATACTTATATATAGCCATCACAAGTCTGGGCAATAAAGGAAAATTTTGCTAAGACAGAGATTAATGGGGATAGAGGCTAATTCAGATGGAAGGAAGGATCAGGAAAAGCCTTTTGAGGGTTGCAGGGAGAAATGTGGTTGGGTACTCCCTTCAGTGGTGTAGGGGCACATGTACTGATGTCAGCACTGTGCTAGATACTGGGATTCAAGTATACATTGTCTGAGAGAGTCAAGAAAGGATTCACATAAAGGCAGCTCTTCAGCTGAGACTTGAGGCAAGTGAGTACGTATGACATGGAGGGACATTCCAAGGAGGAGGAACAGCATGGGTGCAAATGTATAGATAAAAGAGGATAGCCTATCATGGGACTGTAATGGGGTGGGGGGTAGAGCTAGTGTAGAGGACACAAGGAGCAGAACATCAAGATGTGCGAGTAGAGAGCCAAACAACACATTGATATGAAGGGCCTTGTATCCTGTAGGTGATGGAAAGCAATTAAAAGATTTTAAACAGGAGATTGAGAGGAGAAAATCTGCATATCAGAGTGAACTTCTGAAAGCAATGTGGAAGAAAGATTTGAAGACAAGGCAGGGGGGCCGGTTTTTGAAGTAGTCCACAGGAGAGTTAGTGAAAAACTGACCTTGAGTAATAGTAATAAGAGTCGAGTTATTGCAGAAGACACAGCCAGGGAGGCAGAATGGACACATTAGGAAGTAATTGAATGAGGGGTGTGAGTGACAGTCAGGGGTCAAAGATGAATCCTCTGTTGGTGGTTGGTGCTATTGAATGATGCTAATCACTAAGTTAAGCAATAAAGGGAGAAGAGCAAGTTTGGTAGGAAAGATGATGAGTTCTCCTTCAGACATGTTGAGTCAACTGATTTGAATGGACAAAAAGCAAGTTGATTTTAGTTCCAACCCATTTCTATTTCATTGTTTCTTCACTGGATGTAAAGGCTAAGAGTGAAAGAGATTAGCAAAAAAGAAAGAGATCAGTGAAAGAGGAACTAGGATATAAGAGCAAGCAATCACACTGCTATAAAACTCATGGCTGGCCATTCATTTCACAAATGTTCACAGAACATGTACAATCCTCACGATAGTATTCTATAGAAATTACAAAGCTCACTAAACTATGTATATAGAAAACATAATTTTAAAATGTAATAGAAATACGATACTAACATCCAATTAGCTACCATACAGGCTACAAAAATGCCCAAAACAAAATACAAAAGTGCAAAATACCCTTATACTTGACTACTTGTAAGATCTGGTAGTCATAATCTTATCTAAGTGATTAAACATTTCATCACTCATAGTGGAACATCCTGTCATGTTGTTTCCTGGTGTGACACAATATGAAATAAATAGCAGCATCTACAAAGCATTCTTGCCAAAAATTTTTTTACTTGAATTTAATCAAGTCTTTATTCCTAACTTCCAGGTTATAAATAATGTAGGGAGTTTAGAAATAAATCCAACAGCATCAGGAATAAAAAGTCAGAAAAATCCAGAATGTGGAACATTCTAAAAGAGCTGATGTGGTATCTTCAAAAAGTCAAAGTTATGAGGGAAAAATTGCGGAATTGTTCCAGATCAAGAGAAACTAAAAAGACACAGCAATCAAATGCAATGAGTGAACGTTGACTGGAATTAGTTTGAAGAAATCACCTTAAAAAACATTTTGGGACAAGTGAGGAAATGTTAATATGGACTGGAATATTAGATGATATTAGAGAATTAGTAATTTTCTTAATGATAATGGTATTGAAGTTGATAAAAGAATGTTCTTTTTTCAGGAGAAGCATGTTGAAGAATCTAAAGGCTGCGTTATTCAGAATCAGGCAAACAGAACTCCCAAGAAAAGGAATTCAAAAGAGGAGATTCAATCAAGGGAACTGTTTTAAAAGGTGCTGGAAGAGTTGAATACAAGGGACAAAGAAGTGACCCAGTGATTAACAAAAGTAGAAAGTCACTGCCACCCCTTTGACTGGAGGGACAATGGGAGAAGATGGTGTTACCAGAGCCCAGGAGCCAGGGCTGTTCAGTGAGAATTGGCAGGGGCTCCCCAGTGGAAGCCTGGACCATGGAGAAAGGGACTGTTTGACAGAAATAATCAAAGACACTTCCCAAAGCACAGTGAGGATAATAGAAATATCCTGTCTTCTCCTCTCCTCTTACCATCCAATCTCCAGCTACTACTTCCCATTGGCCAAAATCTAAACAGAACCCTTTTGCAAGGGAGACTGGGAAATGTAGTTTGGAGGCACTAGCTCCCAGGGAAACAGAACAATACAGAAGAACAGGAAATGGATCAAGCAGGCAAGTGACTGGCTCAAGGGAGAATTGTCATGATGCTCGTAACTTATTTTCAAATAGTTCACAGAACAAAATATATACATATAAATACAGAGAAAGCAAATGTGATAAAGTGCTGAATCAAGGTGGGTATATGGGTGTTCATTATATACTTCTAGCAATTTTTCTAAGTTTGAAATTTTTCAGAATAAAAAATTACTGAAAAATTCATTCTAATTCTCTATGAAAGAAATGATAAGGACCTAATGCAGGGTCTTGGCCATGGGAATGAAGACAGGAACTAATCAAAGTGAATTTAACAAATCTTCTCATTAAAGTCTTATAACCAGAATGGAAAAACGTGGGCTGGAGCAATATTTATCATTTTCTTCCACTGTCACACATTTGAGAGTTGAGTTTTCTATTTGTCACCCTGGGAAAGACATATCCACCATTATTCCCATGCCAGCTATAACCCCTACTTTATTTATCACACTCAAGACTTAAGTTTGATAAAATGTAACTGAATGAGTGTGGCTTTAAACTGCTGGTAATCTTTAATCTGCTCTATTTTTTTAAGAAACGAATTAGTTATGAAACACCTCATAGTTGATTGCAACACCAGTATGTTGTAACATCAGAGTTGAGAAATCTTCAGCTAGAAAAATAGTATAATTATAAAGCCACATATATGGTTGAGTACTTTTATACAAAGTTGTTGCTTAATGGATAGATGTCACCCTGGAGGGTGGCTCCACATGGTGCTCCACAGGGTCAGTCTTAGTTTGGGTCTGCCTAGTTTTACATTTTTGTCAGTGTCTTGGATGAGATTCAGAAAGCAAGCTGATTATAATTGCTGATGACATGAAACCCAGGGTGAGACTGAATCAGATGCCAGTTCAGGATCCACAAAGATCTGGATCAATCAGAGTGATGAACCAATGTAAATTGATATCCAATAGAAATATGTGACCAGCCTTTTACTTGAGCCCAGAAAAGCCAACTAATTACAAGATCTTGTATATTTGTGACTAGAGAGCTTGAGTTCATTCTCTGGTTCTGCCACTAACAGCCTGTATAAACTTCAACAAATTACTTCTCTCTCCTTAACTGCCTCAGTTTCCACATGAGTAAATGGAAATAATAATAACACCTAATTCGTAGTAGCTTACGTGAGTTACTATATGTAAAGCAGTTGAACAGTCCCTGGCACAGACTAACAGAAAAAATGTTAGCTGTTAGTAGTGATGTGTATATGGGAGTGCTGGCAGGAATATTACCTGGTAAATAGCTATGAAAAAGATTTAGCAATGAATATTACATCCAATAGATTTCAGTTGTGGGACAGAGTTGCCAAAGGAGTCCATGTCATTTAAGGCTTTATTTAATTAGAATCCCACTGCCTGAAATGAGGCTGATGAAGCCATGATTTACTCTGCTCTGCTCAGGCTGCAACTGGAGCAAGAGGTTGAGATCAGGTGTCATAGCCACAAACTTCATAAGCAAATTGGAGTCTGCTCAACACAGGGCTGGAATGCAGGAACTGTTGACAGAATTGGAAATGTCAGTCTGTCTTTAGAAATTTAATGAACTGTGGAATAGAATTTTGAACTTGTTTTGTGGGGCTCCCATTGATTTCCCCAGAACCAATGAGTAAAAATTACCATGACACAGATTCTGAGTCCACATAATGAAAATCTTCCTCGTGATCAGAGTTAGCGGGAACTGTTTTGGAGTGTGCTGAGTTCCCTGCCCTGCAAAGATAATCACACATCAGGGTGACCACTTGGCAAGGGTGTAATGGGAGTCAAACCCCAGTTGAGTGATTGGATTAGGGGTCATAAGACTGATCCCCGAAAATCCTGAGATTTTTTCCAATGCGATCTGAGGATTCTAGACTTGTTTTTAATTACATACTTAACTGCTTCCCAAACTGCTACCTCTTAAGATCTTATTGGGTTTTTTTAGGCTGTGGGCCAAAGGTCTGTACTTTTTTTTTCTACCAGCAAACAGCTTAAATGCTCGGTGTGCTCATTTTTTAGGAAATGAAGTTGAAATGATTAAACAGAAAATATGCACTTAGCTCCTAATGTTAGCTGCCTCAAGACAAAATCAATTCCATTTCAAATGGAATGCTACTGGAGAGCCGTTTAGAAATCTGTTGATAGGAAAGAAATATTGAAGGTGAACACATCAGGGTCAGGAAATGAGAAACTTAAAGATATCTTGAATGCTAAAAGGCACTCTGTCTTTCCTGTCCTCAAAACCTTGAAGAAATCTTTAAAATACTCTGCTCATTTGAGTCATAAATATGTTAGCCTAAAAGCCAATGACACCTGGATAAAGAACCGAAGTTTTCTCTGCTAGACTCTCTACAGAAATTCAGAAATTTGAATTCTGAAGATGCCCAAATTAATGACCAGACCAGAATCCATTTATATGCAGTGGAAGAGGGAAAAAGACCCAGAAAAATCCTGCTAGTTCTGGCACCTTTACATGAACAAGCTGATTGCTCATATCCCACATGGCCTCTGTTTTCAATCGATAAACATTCTTCTTAAGCCTGAGAAGTAGCATTCACACATTCTGTGGAGCGGTGCCTCATTTCCTTCTCCATAGCTGGCTCTGCTGCTTGGCCAAGGGAACATTTTCCAACTCTTTCAATGCAGTGGAGAGCTTTATACCAAACAGGATGAGTTTTTCAAGTTGGTTCACCTGCACTTAGGTTTGTGGGTCTTATAAAATAACTAAAAAGGACGTTCAGAATCACTGACCTCCAATCAAAGACAAAGATGGAAGCATGAAATCTAAGTTGAATATATTATATCTTTATTCTGTGTTAGGTTTTTGTGTTTTAATCACAGGGGGAAAAGCAAAACATATATTTTAAAGGGTTATCTTGAGGGGATGGGATATTTTTTAATCTTGAAATTTAATCAGACTATCCTTTCCAAATTTTAGAACACAGATTGATTTAACACAGCATCCAGAAACCAGTAATAGATGAAATTGATAACGAACAAAACTTTGTCTTGTAGTAGTTTAAAATATGTTCTCTCATGAGAAGTTGGATTCTTTGTTTTCCGGGGCTCACATTTTCCACCTCTAGATCCAAAACTCTTTAGTTCACCACACCCTGGATCAAATGCCCCAGCTTCCTGATTAGAAAGCATCTATGCCTTTAGGTGCAAGTGCCTTTAAAAGGAATTGGGAAATTGTCCCTCCAGACCATATTAAGGATATGGGATGCTTTGTTTTGTTTTGTTTTATCAGGAATTTCATCAGAGGTGAGATGGGAACAGTCAAAAACAAGAATATATTGGTATTAATAGAAATAAGATGGTTTATATCACCAAGTAGGTCTACTTTTTAGAATTTTTATTTTTTATGACTAATGTCATACACAATCCTAAGAAGTAAGTATTGGCCAGGATCTACTATAGCAAATAATTTCTCTATGGCATTATTTTAAACAGTAAAACTTTTGAAAACAGGTAAGTGAACAACAATAAAGAAATGCATTTTAATTATTTTTACCAAGTGCATGTAACAACATTGGAAATTTGGAGGCTATTTTGAAAACCCTTACTAGTTCTTTGAGACTCAGCTTAAATCTTAAGACAATAAGATTGAGAAAAAATGTTTTATAATTCTGAAATGGGTGGTTAACAACTTCAGCCTTTTCTTTATCTATTTGTGTATCAGCAGGTTTCTTTGACAGCAAAATATGGATGTGAGCAAAGTGGACAGAGTGCATGGGAGAGTAAAGAAAAAGCCCTCAAAAAGGACATTTCTCCATCTCTAGAAAACCTTGCCAGTAAAGTGCTTGTGAAAATTTTGCCTACTTCCTAACTTACCCTTGCTTTCCCCGTCAATATCACCCCCAAAATCTTTTTGATATTTAATAGAGAACAACTTATAATTCCCAAAGATGACCATCCATAGATTTAAAAGAGCCTACTCTTCTAGAGAAAATAAAGGTCTCTTATTTACCTTTGTCCTGTGTGGCTTGCAATAGACACTTGATAAATGTTTATGGAATAAATCAATGAGAAAATAAATAAAAGAATAGATGGAAGAAAAGTAGAAATACCATATAATGAGAAGCTTAAAAAACCCTGAGTTTTCAAAATGTAGAATCTTGTAGATGACTGTAATGATTAATTAAGGCAAAGAGCTATCATAATCCCACACCATTTTATTTAGTAGGTTTTCTGGTTATCCTTTAAGCATATGCTTAACAAGCAAATATTCCCCTGTTCATAGTTATTATGAAAAATCCATACTTAGAAGTTACATGATCTTAGACAGGAAACTTAGGCTCTCTGAGACTCCATTTCTTCGTCTGCAAAATGGGAATGACTGGTGTAGTGAAGTTAAATGATTCATATTCATAAAGCACTTGCAACAGGGCCTGGAATACAGAAAGTGTATGATAATCATTAGTTAAAACTGTGATTAGCGTGACTAATCAGGTAAAGTATATGGCAGAACTGGAGTAGAGAGTTTTGCAATGAAGATTTTTTGCAGAGAAGAAAAGAATGTTGAGAGAAAGTAGACCTCATGCTTGGAGCTACACAGGCTGCGTGTCTGTAAGGAAGGCAAGAACCAGATATTAGTAAAAGGCTGCTGACAGACTTCCTGAGCTTTGGCATGAATAAAGACTCTTGAAACTTTCCTATGCACCACACAGATGAGATCACTTAATCCATCTTTACAGCAATGCCCCTGGAGAGGCGCATTAGCCTCATTCTGTAGATGAAGACGCTGAGTCATACGAAGGTTTAAAATGTGCCAGGGTCACAGCTAGCAAAGGCAAAGACAGGATTGAATCCAGGCAGTATGACTCCAGAAACTGTGGGCTTAAACACTGTGTGACACTGTCCTCATGACCAAATATATATAATTCTCTGTATTGGAGCAGAGAACAAGATGTACTTAGTTGACTATGCTGAAAGGGTTAAATAAGCGCTAAACAAAAGTTTTTGCACCACAAGATTTCTAGTTATTTTTCATCTCCGGACCCAGAATCCTCATTCAAACTGAAAATCAAAACTGAGTCAAAAGTTAGAAAGGCATTGATTATTTGAAAGAAAGACAGGGAACAGGAAAGGAAAAAAAAAGAAGAGGAAGCCTCTTCATATAAATGTTATCCACAGCATTCGCAAACAAACTTAATAAGCATCTTATTGAAAGGAGTAAAGGTGTAAGATTCTAAAGATTTCTTTAAAGTATCTTAAGGCAGTAAGGAGAAACCAATTACACACTACTCAGTTTACACACTGTCGCTGTTGTTTTCACCTGCCCATAAACTATACTTGTCTTCTGAAAAGAGTTTCCTGGTTTTCCTTTGAGAAATCACCCTCCCCCCATCTCAGGGCAAATTCTAGTGAGACTGAGTTCACTCCCAACCTGGACCCAAGACCCCGATCTGGTCATTAAAAGTTCTGCATGGATTTCTATACTCCAGTAATGAACCAAAAGAAAAAGAACTCAACAACACAATACCATTCACAATCGCAACAAAAAGAATAAAATACCTTGGGGTAAATTTAACTAAGGAAGTGAAGGACCTATATAATGAAAATTACAAGGCCTGTCTGAGAGAATTGGATGAAGACATAAGGAGATGGAAAGACATTCCATGTACATGGATTGGAAGAATAAACATAGTTAAAATGTCCATTCTACCTAAAGCAATCTACAGATTCAACACCATCCCAATCGGAATCCCAATGACATTCTTTACAGAATTAGAACAAAGAATCCTAAAATTCATATGGGGAAACAAAAGACCCCGAATTGCTAAAGCAATCCTGAGAAAAAAGAACAAAACGGGAGGCATCACAACCCCTGACTTCAAAACATACTACAAAGCTACAGTAAACAAAACAGCATGGTACTGGTACAAAAACAGGTGCACAGATCAATGGAACAGAATTGAAAGCCCAGAAATAAAACCACACATCTATGGACAGCTTATCTTTGACAAAGGAGCTGAGGGCATACAATGGAGAAAAGAAAGTCTTTTCAATAAATGGTGCTGGGAAAACTGGAAAGCCACATGTAAAAGAATGAAAATTGACCATTCTTTTTCACCATTCACCAAAATAAACTCAAAATGGATCAAAGACCTAAAGGTGAGACCTGAAACCATAAGACTTCTGGAAGAAAACGTAGGCAGTACACTCTTTGACATCAGTATTAAAAGGATCTTTTTGGACACCATGCCTTCTCAGAAAAGGGAAACAATAGAAAGAATAAACAAATGGGACTTCATCAGACTAAAGAGTTTCTTCAAGGCAAATGAAAACAGGATTGAAACAAAAAAACAACCCACTAACTGGGAAAAAATATTTGCAAGTCATATATCTGACAAAGGCTTAATATCCATAATATATAAAGAACTCTCGCAACTCAACAACAAAACATCAAACAACCCAATCAAAAAATGGGCTGGAGACATGAACAGACATTTCTCCAAAGAAGATATACTGATGGCCAATAGGCACATGAAAAGATGCTCATCATCGCTGATCATCAGGGAAATGCAAATCAAAACTACACTAAGATATCACCTTACACCCATTAGAATGACAAAAATATCTAAAACTAATAGTAACAAATGTTGGAGAGGTTGCGGAGAGAAAGGAACCCTCATACACTGCTGGTGGGAATGCAAACTGGTGCAGCCACTATGGAAAACAGTGTGGAGATTCCTCAAAAAATTAAAAATAGAACTACCATACGATCCAGCCATCCCACTACTGGGTATTTATCCAAAGAGCTTGAAGTCAGCGATTCCAAAAGTCCTATGCACCCCAATGTTCATTGCAGCATTATTTACAATAGCCAAGACATGGCAGCAAACTAAGTGCCCAGCAACAGACGAATGGATAAAGAAGATGTGGTACATATATACAATGGAATACTACTCAGCTGTAAAACAGAACAAAATCATTCCATTTGCAATAACATGGATGGCCCTTGAGGGAATTATGTTAAGTGAAATAAGCCAGCGAGAGAAGGATAATCTGTGTATGACTCCACTCATATGAGGAATTTAAAATTACGGACTAAGAACTGTTTAGTGGATACCAGGGGAAAGGTGGGGTGGGGGTTGGGCACAAAGGGTGAAGTGGTGCCCCTACAACATGACTGACAAACATTAATGTACAACTGAAATTTCACAAGATTGTAACCTATCATTAACTCAAAAAAAAAAAAAAAAAGTTCTGCATGGGGGCCAACCTGGTCGTGCAGCGGTTAAGTTTGCACATTCTGCTTCAGCAGCCCAGGGTTCACTGGTTCGGATCACAGGTGCAGACGTACCCTCCGCTTATCAAGCCATGCTGTGGCAGGCATCCTACATATAAAGCAGAGGAAGATAGGCACGGATGTTAGCTCAGGGCAAGTCTTCCTCAGCAAAAAGAGGAGGATTGGCAGCAGAAGTTAGCTCAGGGCTAATCTTCCTCAAAAAAGAAAGAAAACAATTCTGCATGACTCTGATCAACCTATATGGGTATTTCACTGGAATTACTGGGAAAGAGAAGGATTCTTCCCTGGGATTGCCAAACTGATGTGCTCTAGGCCTGGACTTGGTGGTGCCTATCTTTTTGCACTACTGGGAGAAGCTGTCTGAAATGAAAACAATTCAGGGGATGTCAGGGAAGACAGAATGGGAGGGACACAGATTGCTGAGGGTCTCATGTGTGTACCTGAATCTAACTGAGCCTACCAACTTGACTTTTTAATTACATAGACCAATTTTTTAAAAAGTTTTTAAGTGAAGTCAGTTTGATTTGGCTTTTTGCCACTACAGCAGACAGAATCCAAACTAAAACACTAATATGAGATGTGTAAAATGCCCAATGATAGTCTCTTTACTTAGATATGTTTATGATTTTAATTTTGTGTTCACATTTATACAAATGTATAAATGAATAGTTTCACATAGGACTTTAATCCTCTTATCTCTTTATTCCTTTAAATTCTAACATTTTTCACCTGTGAATTCTCCTTCCACAGTGTTTTTAGGAACCTAAGCCTCATAAATCAGGTGAACTATCATATAGCATATTATATATTTACTCATACAGCTGTTTTATCAGGGTGTTATTAATAAGTGCACCAGGTCAAAGACTTCGTCAAGAACTCAATATTACAGAATTCCTTAAACACTGTACTAGATTATTTAGGAAATCTCATTTTAAAACATTAACGTATCCAATGGAAATCTGAAATTAATGAATATAGGTGGAACAGTGACCCTCAAATTTGAATGTGCATAAGAATCACCTAGGAAGCTTGATAAATGGCAGATTCCAGCGTCCCATCCTCAAAAATAGCCATGGGAAGTTTGGGCATAAAATCCAGGCGTCTAAGTCTTCACTAAGCTCTTGAAATGATTCTGATGTAAGTAGTTTCAGACTAGCCTTGAGGAGGTCTTCAAGTTCTCATTGAGCATGAGCAAAGATGTTAGCCTGAGTTTGTAAATTATGGATCTGTCATCTCCAAAGATAATCAAGGATCATTAAGGATAAACTGGAAAATTTTCCTCATTTTACTTTCTTATAGTCTAGTCAGGATTAAGTGACATAATGCTTATAAGGGACTTCATATAGTTAGCATGTGCTGAGAGCAATTATTTTTAACATGCTTATTATAATGGAACTAAAAAGAACAGACTTAATCATCTTGTTATATTTAGAGTCTAGTTCTCTTCTCTCTTTAAAAGTGTTAAGGCTCAAGAAGGTTAAATTCTGTGCTGGTTTTTAAGCTTTTGTCTCTTGGTGCCCAACCTGGGAATCTCAGGAATCAGAGGAAAATATATAGCACATTTGTGAGTGCTTCTCTGACCCATTTACCAAATAACTTGTATGGCTGCAAATTTTGTGTGGGCTCCAAGTAAGAAAAGGCTCAGTAACAAGTCCAGTCTGCAGTGCAAGCTGCTGTCTTTTGGACTTTAGAAGAAAAAACTAGTAGAAGTAGATTCAT